TGAAAGGCAGTGGTGGGCACAATTCCCCTAAAGCACTAATAGGGGAACTAATTTCCTGGTTAGTGCTTTAGGGCTTTTGCTAATTTTAGAATTTATTAGTGGATTAGCACTTGCTAAATTTGTAGGCTAAATTTAAAAGCACTAACTGAGGTCTATAAATGTTATTGATCAACGTTATTGTTAACAGCTGAGGGTGGAAGCTGTCGCATATGTGTGTCACTGATCCACCAGGTGACAATAAATGAACTCAAATACATGTGGGATGTCGATAAGTCTTAAGAGAGCAACGTGGCAATATTTGACTCGTTGTCTGTTGAAGAATGTTCATGGGTTGACTCGGTTTTTAGTGCATTAGAATTAGCTTTTGCTAAAATTTTCAGTGCATTAGTGCTTTAGAATTAGGGGACCTAAATATTTGAGTTAGTGTTTTAGGGCTAGTGGAGCTAATTTTTAGATTAGTGCTGCCCACCACTCTTGAAAGGTAAAAAAAAATAGCCCAAACTACACAGTGTCATTTAGGCTGTAAAAATGCACAGAAGAAATAATAAAAAAGATAAACAGTTTTGGGAATGCTGACTCAGCATTTCCACAATAAACGATCAGCCTGGATCACCTGCAGATCTGGTTGCTACAGCCCCTAGCCCTCTGTGGTGAGTTCTGCATTTTTTTTTTCGATGGCTGAGGCTCTGTTCACACACCAAACTTTATTTTCTGACAAGTCAGCACTCAGGATGGAGTCCCAGGAGGTCCAGGAGTGTCATGGTTGCTGGCGCCTCTGGAGTTGGTTGCCCCACAACAGGGCCAACTCTACAACTTGTCTCCGTCTCCACTTTACGTCTCCCACAATCAGCTGATAACCAGCGCCTTCTTGGAACAAACCACTGAACGCTGTGATGTTCCTCTGAAAACAAAGCCTTTCCCACTGGGCATTCAGAAGCCGGTGCAGGGAGTTTTCTCTGGTGCTCCTTGCTGTTCTTCCACAACAACAGCTTCGGTTTTATGTAAAACATAAACGCCTGACTTTGTTTCTTGATATGGAGAACAATATTCACAGACTTATCTGTTTCTCTGGGTGAATACATTTTCCTCTTTAGCAACAGTGATATGCTTTCCTCATTTTTATACATTCTTCAGTCGCTGAATCTATCTGGATATATTTTTATGTAAGCTATAACCAATGTCAAGTCTTGCAATCCTGGATTGACTTTCTTATTCTCTAAAAAAATGTTGCTCATTTCATGGATTGCTGTCAGCATTTTAACAAGATGGAGAAAAAAGTACAAATGGTTTTGTTGCTTACTTAAATTAACAATTGAGGATATGCACAGTAAATATCTTACCTGTTGTAGATAGCTCTTTGAATGAATTCAAGTTTGGAGAAACAAAGTTTAATTTTAACTTGGGTTGATAAGAAAGGAGTTAATACAAGCTGGGCCAAAATCAAAGCGGATTTCTGCTGTTTTAAAACCACTCCCATCTTAAAACCTTCGTAACAATTTCCTAAAAACCTTTTCTTTGCTTTCAGTTTTACTAGTTATTTCACCAGAAATACGATATTCGTGTTAGAAGTGCCTCAAGTTGCACTAGAGGTACTAATAATAGAAAATTCCTTTTGACTCAGACTCCTGTGTTTAAGAAATCAGACATTTTTTAATTACACTTGGGTTTTGCTGTGCATCTTTGAGATCACTACTTGTACACTAATTTCATGAAAACTGTTTTAACAGGCATTCACAAGATTATACTTGTTTCTGAAAAAGACTTGACCTGTATTCCAGATTTGTTGAACAAGAAGCACAGTGCATTAAGATTCAGTCTTCATGTCAAGACACTGAACTCATATATTTATATTAAAATGAAGATAAAGTCTTTAAAATGCATGAAAAAGATGTTAAGCAGTGTTACAAATTATGCCTCTTGCTTTCTGTTAGGAGCCCAAGGCTACGTCTACTCCACATTCCTGAAGCAGTACAACCCCCTGAGGGACTCCCAGAGGTCAGGCCAGAGGGCCAAAGAGCAGCAGCAGCAGCAGCCTGCGCAGCCGCCTGCCATGGACGATGAGGACTTTGATGACCTCAGCCTGTTCGTGTCAGGAAGCGGCAGCAGCAGCCTGCGCAGCATCAACCTCAGCGCCAACGACAGCAGCTCGTCCCTCTCCAGTCTGCAGCTGGAGCTGGAGAGCGGGGAGGAACTGGTGGATGCAGTAGATACAGATGCTCAGCAGGTCTGTGTGTGGTAACCATTAGAATTTTTTTCACCAATGGATTGTCATTTTTAAATAGCCAAGATAACCAGCAGAAAGGTGCTACTTTGTTCACGTAGAAAGCTAGTCAACAGCGCCACCTCCTGGCTTTACAGGAGGATTGCTTGATGAATTTTCTGAGTAACCATAATTCACAAAGGTGTTTGCCTTTTGTTCCATCTTAAATATGTCTGTTTTCACAGTTTTATGCTGTGTACGCGTTTCAAGCCCGCTGTGACCAGGAACTGTCCCTGCAGGAGTACCAGCATGTCCGCATACTCAAGTTCTGTGACCTGGGGGGCAACAAAGAGTGGTGGTTGGCTGAGGCTAATGGACAGAAAGGATACGTCCCTGCCAACTATCTTGGCAGAATGTCCTACGCATAAAATAACAATATTTAATTTTTAAAAATTTTATTTTATACAATTTTAATAAAAAATGTATGTCTGCTTTGTATTTTCTGCACTTTTCAAATGTCACTTGTCTCATGTTGATCTTAATCAGAACTGCTATTGTGAACATTTTGTGAGAAAGCTTACCAGTGGTATTTAACCTACGAATTGGTTTGAATGTAAATGAATCTATATGGATAATCAGATGAACTATTCTGAGCACTTTTTTGTATTCCAGTGTTTAAATCGATGAAGTAACAAAGTCATGAAGAAAACTGAACATGTGAAGTGATTCTTGGAGAATCTTTGAAACGATTTATGAAGTATATTTTAAATGATTTATGAAGAATATTGTCTGTCCATTTTCCATTTATCTTTAAATAAAAAAATATATTGGTTACATCAAAATATTCTACTTCTATGATTTAAATATTCCTCGCCCTTCACAACTCCAATCCTGAAAAAAGTTGGGACTATGTTTAAAATGTAGTTGCAAACTAAATGCAACGATTTTCTAATCTCACAAACCACATTGTTTTCAGTGGAACACTGTAAACATGCTTAAACTAAAGCATTACACTGTTTTATTTTTGAAAAATTAATGCATTTTTATGTCACCATGTTTTACTGAGAGAGAAAAAGAAAAAAAATTGTATAGGTCTTCTGGACGGGTTCTTCTCTAATGAAACATTTCGTCTCTCCTCCAAGAGACTTCTTCAGTCTGAGAGTTTCAGGCAAAATTCAGGCTTTTAAGCACTGCATCCATGTGACTGATACTCACATCACATGGCTATTGTTGACACCTAATTAACACCTATTGTTAACAGGGGGTGGAGTGATAATGGCAATAGCTGCAATGTAGGAGGGGGACAACTGAAAACGATGGCCACGGAGCCAACATGATGTCCCAGTGGCTTTCAAACCCCAAAACACATTACGGCAAAGGCTGGTTCACCCCAAAGATCCGGTGCCCCGGCACAAACAGAGCAATGTTGTATATGCTGTTAAGTGCCAGGAGGACTGCGACCAGTTATACATCGGGGAAACAAAGCAACCACTGTTCAAAAGAAAGTCCCAACACAGACGAGCTACATCTAATGGCCAGAACTCTGCAGTTTTCACTCATTTACAGGCCAGCGGTCACTCTTTCAGAGATGAGGATGTTCTCATTCTTGATAGAGAGGAACGTTGGTTTGAGAGAGGAGTAAAAGAAGCCATTTTTGTGAAGAAAGACCGTCCATCATTAAACAGAGGTGGAGGCCTCCGTTTTCAGTTGTCCTCCTCCTACAGTGCGGCCATTGCCAGTATCACTCCACCCCCTGTTAACAATAGGTGTTAATTAGGTGTCAACGATAGCCATGTGATGTGAGTATCAGTCACATGGAGGCAGTGCTTAAGAGCCTGAATTTTGCCTGAAACTCTCAGACTGAAGAAGTCTCTTGGAGGAGAGACGAAACGTTTCATTAGAGAAGAACCCGTCCAGAAGACCTATACAATTTTTTTCTTTTTGATTTTTTACCTGGATTACTGAGATGCATCAGGACATTTACTGAGAGGTTTGTGAACTGTGAGCTAATAACAGGGGGTCTGTCTTCTCTTTAGTACAAAGTGACATTAAGGGTTTTCAGAAATTAGAAATGAAATTAATTCCAACTTTTGATTTAATTGATCTGACCATTTTCCAATTTGTCTGTCTGTTTTAAATTGGCTTTGACCCAAAGAGGATGGCTACATTTCTGGATAGTGTTTCAGAAACACCACACGAAAACATGGTCTATGCATGAGCTGAAGAAAATGTTGTGACTGATTAACAGAATTTAAGATCCAGTCTTGTATTCCACACTTGGTGCAGCCATATAGTACAGAGGAACAGAGTCAGTGTGTCTTATCAATGCAGTCCTTCTGTCTGTATAAACAGAGTTGGTTAAAGGTCTGACTAAGCGGTAGGTACCGCCTCCAGTGGTGTGACGAGGTTTGAGATGTACACCCTACTTTAAGAGGTTACATCATCATCAGTCATGATGCAGTCTTCTGTTTTTGTTCTGATAAGGCCAAGGCCTTCCACTATCAGAGGCCTTGGAGTCAGATTGAGAAGAAAGTTTTTAGAAGAAATCAATCGGTTTTCTATTTTATTCAGATTTTCAATTTATGGAACATACATTTCTTATAGAGCTTTACTCACTGTTTACACACAGTGGGTCTCATGCAAGAACCTTTTCGTATTCTTATCTTAAATTTCTTACTTTTTGTACAAAGGGCTCTTATGTCATAATATGTAATAAGGCTGTTGATTATGTTCACCTGCTGTTGACCTCATTATATACTGAGACAAATTAAACTTCAGTTAACACATAGTTTAAGTTAGTTTGTAGTTTGAGATTATCATTTTAATATTGTAGTGTTATACAACAGCATTAATTTAAATTATAATGTCAAGCTGCGTTTAAAATTGTAATTCCATTCTACTCAATATTTTCAAACTAATGAAATATAAAATTATTAGTGAAGTAAATCAGTCTGGATAACAGCAGACAGACTGCTCGTAAAATATACGACAGGTCTGAACCACTCGTGAATTTTGTTCGTATCTGAAAAAAAAAATCTTATAACAAAATTAATGACTGCCATAATTTCTCCTAAATCACTCATACACACAACGTAAGAACAAATGTGTTCATTCGAACGGTTCTTGCAGGAGGCAGTATTCCTGAACTCGTGCAGAGATGTCCGCGACAGAAGCAGACCTGTTTGAATGCAGCAGCACCCTGAGGGCCTGAAGATCACAAGCATCTAAATTTAACTTTGTCTCATCCTTTGAGCTCAGAAATTTATCCAGATTCTTGAACATTTTATGAACTGTAGATGAAACATTAACCTGAAATTCTTCCACTATTTTTAGATGCAGTGTTTATGCAGAGTAATTAACGTCTGCTTTACTTCTGAAATAATCAGCCTCTCTATGAAACTTTTATTCTCCATTCTCTTACTGATCTGTTCCACTTTAACATAACCAGTGTTGTATAAAGTACCACACAGTGATACTTGAGTAAAAGTACAAATGTCTTACCAAAAAATTACTTTGGTAAAAGTTAAAAGTCTCCTTTAGGAATATTGCTTGAGTAAAAGTCTTAAAGTATCTGATATTTTTTGTACTTAAGCATTAAAAGTAAAAGTATTGATTTAAAATGAGCAGTTAGATTTTCTGTAAGGACATTTATTAGGAGGTGACCTCCCCAAAAATATGCAAAAATGACTATATTGTGTTAAAATAATTAATTTATGTTAAATTTAGGATGCACTAGTCTAGCTGTTTCAGTTTATATACATAAATCTAGGGTGTCCAAACATTTTCCCCAAAATGAAAATTTATCCAAGGGCTGAGGGCCAAACACAATAATATAATTCATGAAATACAAATATTTCTTAAGTACAGTCCTTTTTTATTTTAATGATTATGTGCTGTTGAAGTGTGACATGATTTGTTTGTGTACAAACTAATACAGTACCAGAATTTTATATATTTATACTTCTCATTCAACCACAGTTAAATTCATTCTATCTAGGAGGCACCATTTATATGGATAGTATTTATTTTTTACAAGCTGGAATGAAAACAAGCAAAAATGAAATTAAAGTAACGACTTTCTACTTGTCTTTCTTTTAAACATGTAGTGAGTAGAAAGTACAGATAATTGTGTGAAAATGTAAGTAGAAGTAAAAAGTAGGCTGAAAAATAGCTACTCAAATAGATACGCAAAAATTCTACATAAGTACAGTAACAAAGTATTTGTACTTCGTTATTTTATAACTCCGAACCTAACACATAGCAAAATACTCGTTTCTTATTCTTGTTTTGTGCTGCTCCCGTTTCAAATTTTGAGGTGTTGCTGTCATCCAATACAATGTTTCACACTAAAAATATTCAGTTTCTTAGTTTGAACATTCGATGTTTGCTATACTCCACTGTGAATAAAAGATAAAGATTATTAGGTTTGCAAAGTCTGTTTTTATTTACTGTATTTATTCATGTATAATCATCATTTTTTGAGCTTACAAAGCATAAAAAACCTTATTGTCAATAACCTGTGTATAATACTACCCCCCGCCAGCTTTATGGATGATTTTTAAGGTTAAATTTCTAGTATTATACATGAATAAATACAGTACATTTCACACAAACCCACTCTAGACTAGGGGTAGTAGGACATATTGGCTTGAATTAAAAATACACTCCTTACTGCAAAGTCAGTGCTAGTCAGTGTATGAGAGACAATTTATTGACAGGTTGAATAAAAGTGACATTTCTTTCACTGGTTAAATTTGTGAGGTGAGGAGAGAAGAGGCACACAAAGTCCAGCAGCATTTACAAATAGTTAATTTCAAGTATTTGACTAGATGGTGATTGTCCACAGATGCTCTGGCACTAAATGCTCACAATTCATATTTGTGTACTTTCTACTTCTGCCGTACCACCTCCGTCCTTTTCTGTATCTGCCTGTCAAAATTCATTTCTTCAGTTTCTTCTGTGCAGCTTTCTTCTTGACCAGCTGCAAACGCTTCATGGCGATGAGCTGGGACTCTTGAGAAGTTGGTGCTTTGTCCCCTGGTGCAACCTTTGACCCATTCCCATTGTTCCCGTTGCCCCCGCCGTTATTTCCTCCGTTGCCTCCGTTGCCTGTCTGGGAGCTCCCAGGAGAGCTGGACCCAGAAGCAGGAGAGCCTTTCCCCTGACTGTCCCCGCTCAGCGAGCGGTTAAGACCCTGCTTCCCCAAAGTCAGAGGCGGAGGAGGTTTCAACGTGACTTGGCTGGAGCCATTTCCATTGCTGTTCCCAGCTATCTTTGCTCCTCCAAGACCCGACTTGGCTCCAGCGAGCCCCAACAACCCAACAGGTTTTTGAGCCGAGGGCGTTGTCGACGTCTTGCTGCTCCCACTTGGGCCCGAGGGAACCAGCTTGGAGGTAGCAGGAAGAGACGGGTTCGTTTTGGCTCCAAATGCAGCCCAACCAGTGAGGCCACTGCTAGAGGAGGAGGCGCCGCTGCTGGTGGGGTTTGCTAATGTAGCAGGTGCCTGCAGGAAATCAGAACGAAGGGGACAACAAAGAGTGAGAAAATATAGTAATCAGTGTCACTCAGGACTTTAGGTTCACCTTCTGATTTGAAGCTACTCAAAAGACTTGATGAAAAGTGTAATTCCATCTTTTACTTGTAGGCAGGAAACATTTATTTGCTGTAGTTTCTTATATACCATGTCATGTATGACAACAAGGAAGCTCTGAAAGGTTTTAAACTAGTAGTATAGGCACTGGATAGCCTAATTTAAACTAAAATCAACTTCCTGCTCATTTTTCTCCTTCAACTGCTGCTTTGTACTGTGGCAAACCTGTTACTTTTGCTTTTATTAGTTATTACAGGGTTCCCACACCTTGGTCAACATCAAATTCAAGGACCTTTCAAGGACTTTCCAGTACAAATTTCCTCAAATTAAAAAACCATGCGCAACGGCAATGACCTACTGCTACTGCAGATTGTTACCAATAAACAGGTTTAATATCATGTAAATTCAATGAAAAACTGAACAACATGGAAGTTGTTGAGTCAGAATCAATGAAAGAAAGTGGATTAAATGTAGACCCTACATTCATTTCTACAACACATGGACGTGTAATTATGTCCTGAGAGGTTCAGCAGCTCAGTTTGGGAGGAGGGGATGTGAACATGTCCAGACGCTGTGTGAGCTGTGGTGCTCTCACCTGGGCTCAGAAAGAACAACCCGCTCTACTCTGCTCTGATTGGATAAAACTATGACTATGGCTCACGTTATTTGTTGAAAACCACGTCAGTTTACAGTAATCCTGAGTTATCCACCGCAGTAAATTTATTTATTAATTTTTTTACAGATGATGAAAATCAGTCGTGTGAATAGAGAACGTCAATCCCCAGAAAGCATTCAAGGACAAGTGTAATTTTTGTCTGTTTTCACAAACTTTCCAGGACCTTGAAATTATTATTTTTAAACTCACTAACTTTCAAGGATTTCAAGGACCCGTGGGAACTCTGTTATTAGTAAAAAATAAAACCGAAGGCGCAATCTTTAGCCGTATAAAACGCAGGTGTTTGTTTATGACACACATACCTTCACTTCTGTTCTTTTAAAGGCCTGGAAGGTGCTGGTTGTATCAGTTTTCAGCTTGAGCTCTGTCTTTTTCACCAGTGTGTCTTTTACGACTGGTGCTGATGATGCAGATGCCGGGGACGGTTTCTGTGGGGGTTTTTGGGCCTTGTTGGCAACCAAATAAAAATTAGTTTCACAGAGAAAAAAAAAAACATTACGTCTTGATGACATGACTTTTGTGTTAAATAAAAAGTGACAACGATGCAAATGCTGGAGCACAGTTTAGCTTCCTCACCATGCGTTTCATCTGCCTGGTGCAGCGAGCACAATACCACACCAGCCGTGGGTCGTTGACTTCTTTATCTGTCACCGGCGTTTTGTGACAGTCCTGGTGATACAGATTATGACACTCCTGGCACTCCACCAGCTGGTTCCCCACTGTCACCGTCATTTGTCTGAGGTAATTATAAATACAAGAAGAACATGAACACAGGACAAGAGAGCGGCTTAAACTTTTCACCAAACTTAACTGATGAAATCCTACTAAAGGAGGAAAAATAAACATTTACCTGCAGACTACACAGACGAGACCCATTTCCATGGCAAAGTCATCAGCATTAGTCTCATAGTAGTCATTTATGTTTGGTAGGAGGTCTCTGCTGGTCTGAACTGTAACTGGAGAAGAGCGATTCTCCTGTCTTTCCAAACGAGGCTTTTTCGGAGGTTCCGCTTCACCCACTTCAATTCTGACCTGTTTTTCATTTAAACAAAAGAAAAACAAAGTTTGGACAAATCATACAACTACATATATCTATGTATTCAGTAATATGCTAATAGAGTTTGTATAGTGTTTATATGCACAGTCTTTATGATTTTATAAACAACAATGATCCTTATTGTCTCTTTGTATCATAGCTGGTCATCTCTTTTTAACCTCAGTCATAAGACAGCTCAGTCCAGGAATGAAGCGTGTTCTGTCCTCTTCAGGTCATTCAGAAAAAACACAAAGACAGCAGGGGAGGTACGTTTGATTTGAGACAGACGTCAGTGAGCGACTGCATGATTATTCAACACATTTATTACAGAGGGAATATTAAAGACGACACAGAACAGCAACTGTGTTAGTTTACAAACTATTGAACAGGATTGCTAAAGTAAGTTCATTTAGTTTGTTTTGTTTGATACACGACAGATGTTCATCACACAATAAATATGTTGTGGTCCGCTTCGGCTGAGCTGAGATCTGCTCCACGCCTCTTTTGCAGGGTTCCTAAAGCTTATGACAAGTTAACTCCAAGACTTTTTAATATTTTTTAATGCCACTTGAAAGGAAATTTAAGACCAATTTTACAAAAAAAAAAAAAAAAAGAAACAATTTAACACAAATGTTTATTTTAACACAAAACAACTTGGTAAATTTGGTAATTTGTTTAAAAAAATAAATGTTACCAATTATTTTAATAATTGAGACAAATACAGTCATCCTATTTACAATGTGTTAACATTTTTAAAACCTCTGAAAGATTGATTTAAGACATTTTAAGGCTAATTAAGGCCTTATTTTTGGACTGATGAATTCAATGCCTTTTAAGACTTTTTAAGGATCCGCAGGAACCCTGTTTTGATTCCACGCTGCTGGCTTTATTTCTGAATGTGTACATGTGAGCAGGACCTGGCCAACTTCTCCTGTGAATTACGAACGACCCGAGGGAGCTTAAAAAACTGTCTTGTGAAAGAGGCTTTCATTCACTATTTTACAAGAATTTAAGTAGCTCTTAATCATTTGTGAATCCAACAAATGCAGACATGACACCCATTCCCAAGATTTGTTGTCACACAGAAATATATAAAGTCTAATAAATCAATTGCTTCCAGCACCTTTTCAGACGGCCTCTTTTCAGCGTCTTTCTTGCTCTTCTCAGAGCTGGATTTGCTGCTTCCACTGCTGCTGCCAGAAGACGAGGAACTCGAAGACTTGGAGTCAGGTTTACTTAAGCTCAGTTTTGACACAGACCCCTTTGACACCTCCACCTCCTGAGGGCAGTACAAGCAAATACACACAATATACAGGCAGTTAGCTGCAAACACACAACATGCCAATAAGACTGAGTGTACACAATGCATGACTATACGTCTTACCTTTTGTAATGAGCGGTGGGAGGAGTCGCTTCCTCTTGCAAGCGACTCGTCAAGCAGAGCTTTGAGCTTCTCAGCTGAATCTTTGCTCTTGGAATGTAAATAGCTGAGCCCCTTTAGAAAAATGGGGTCCAGCTCCAAACTGACTGGTCCAGCCATGGCTTAAACTGGAAATCACATAATTATGACAGCTTTCATACTTAAGCCTGGCGTAATGTTATGAAATTGGTATTGTTTAATCTGTGGAAATGTATTTTTTTCTCTATTTTGTTTTCACAGAGAAAAATCACAATGAGGGAGTCAAAGCAGGCATTTTAATAGTATGACATGCTCAAAATATTGAAAGCACGACAGTCCTATAGAGCTAAACAGTTATTCTATCATAATTATAAGTTAGTTATAATTCTATAATGTCACAATATTGCATCCTCGAATAGAACTGTGGGAACATCTGGGCTGATTCCCTTCTACAGACCTTGTTATGAGTTGTTTTGCTGGTTTCGGTAGGATTCAAAATGCTGTGTGTGACGCTGAAATCAGGAAGACGGTGCTGCATACAGCGTTATTGTAGCTAAAGTTGCCTTTCTTCTGAGTACTAAAGCTGAATTTGTAGCTTATAAACTGTAAATAGACAATCTTACCTGTCCGTGCCTCTCCTTTCTGTTGTACAACCTGAATATTTGTTCAGGTTTAGCAGAAAACAAAACGTTCTCTTCCGAGCGGCGTTCTTGCTCTTGTGCCACCGAAAAATATGTCCGGAATCAGCACGGCGGAACTATGTAGGCAACGTTGCTTTTAAATTTATTTCATTCAAAAATCGCTTATTGATTAAATTTAATTAATTTTTATATGCGAATAAACATTTTACGGGTATTTTACTGTTATAGAAACTCGTTTAGGCATGTTTCACAAATTAAAATGGTATCTGCTGGTGGCGCTGTGCGAAGCTAGGCTGGTTTAAAACCGTAGAAGAAGAAGCGCAACAATAACACACGTGTGCAAAATTCTCTTGTAAGTATTTATTTTCTTGTTATGTGTTTTAGATAAGCAAATATCTTGGCGTAATAACGCTAGCTGAGGACACTAGCACGGCTTCAAAGCTAACAAACGTATTTCCTCCCTTTCTTTTAGTTCATTTACAATGAACCATACTGAAGAGCAGCAGCATCCCTCCCTCTACTTGGAAGTTTGTACCCAAAATGAGGAGCCGCGTCTTCCTTTGCACACATCCATAGTCCTCTTCCTTCTGTCTTACTGCGAGTGCAAGTCGTTCACAGTGTTTCTGGTTTTCAGCAACAAGACGAGCCGCAGTTCAGACTCGGAGTCACTGAGGGCTCAGCTTCCAGGTTCTGTCAGTGTGACCGACGTTCAGCTGGAGGACCTGCCACAGCTGGTGAAGAGCTGCAGACTTCCGGCTGCTGTGGATGAAAGCGGACGGCTCTGCAGGGCCGGACTGGCTGTGGTCCTCAGGCACATCATTATCAAAACCACTGAGGCCGATCCGACCAGGAAGGATGTTCTGACGCTGCTGGGTTTCAAGAAAACATGCTTGAAGGCCTGTGCAGAGGTCAGTGTGAGGAGTATGACAAAAATGCACGTGATTTACCACTTTATTAATGTACCTGCTTTGGTCTAAACATCAGGTGACCCGGAAGTAATCTGTATCTGGTGCTGTGGATGCTAATAGACGTTTTGCAATGACAAAATTAAACCACTAATCCAGTGGTTCCCAAACTTTTTATCTTCTGACCCACAATATATCCATGGCAAAAACTTGTGACCCCAAATATTACTGGTCTGAGTACATGAACTTTGTTAATAACCCTAAAAACACAGGCTTTTTTACAATCTAAACAGCTTATACACAATTATAAATACTTATTTATACTTATTTTGTGTTTTTGTAATAATTATAGCGAAAATATTACAACAGCAATTATTTTATTACCCTTTAAATTGATTTCTGGAGATTATCCAAGGTGCTTCATGACCCATAATTGGGTCCCAAGCCCAACTTTGGGAACCAAAGTGCAGTGGTTCCCAAACATTTCAGCTTTTGACCCACAAAATAGTACAAAACAGTAGCAGAGCCCCCAGCTACTTTTGGATGATAAACATTTGTATCAGGTCAACTAAACATGGGCATAGCAACAATATTTTTATACTACATTTATCCATTTTAAATACACTAACCTCACTCCTTTGTAACAACTAAGGCAAAAAATGTAATTAATTCAGAAAATCTTTTCAGGACCCCACCTTGATGTTTCGGTACCCCACTTTGGGTCCTGACCCCAACTTTGGGAAACACTGCACTAATAGACACTTAATGTTTTAAAATCACCTGGTTGAACCACACTGCTTCATTCAAACAGTCTAAATCTCACACAACCAGATTTGAGCAACAAGCAAGACAGTAGAGTAAGTCTGTAAATATTTTGCCAAATTTTATCCTCATTAGTTGTGTGAAAACGGTCGTATTTATTATGATGTTAATATGTTACAGACAGATCCTAAAGCCAAATTCTTGCATCCTTCCTTAACACAGATTTGACTGGAAATTAAATGATACAATTCAGTTACATATCAGACAAATTAATTTCTTTTATAAAATATGTTAGATAAAAATCAATAACTCCTTTTAATACCTCCATGTAAAATGTACAATATTACATTCCTCACTCTTTGAATCTGCATGTGAATTTCAACGTTGCTACAATAAAACGTTCATGTCACAATAAGCTGTAGACATGCAGAGGAAAGACAAAAGGACTTTTCCCAAATGACACGACACACAACTTATGACATCATCACAGATCGAAATATACAAACTAAAAACACTAAACAATGACTACGCATTTTTAAAGCCTATACAAATGTTTGGTTCTTTTATTAGGCCCAGTAAAATTTTATTATATCCATATTTTTATAAAGATTTGTGACATTTTGCTGTAGTCTATTTATCTTTGTGCATCCAGGGAGCCTTCTTGTCTGTCCATAGAGCTGTTCTTTAGTAAATTACACAACAATCATTTTGATACCAGGGCCTACAGGAAAGGTTTTATTAATACTTTTAAAAATGCCTTTTTTGGACATCATCTTAGTAGATCTCAAACTTTAACCACAAATAATTGTTGAGGGTTTTTTTTGTGTGAAATTGATTAATTAGGTTTAAGATAAGAGGAGGTTTTAAAGAGAATGCTTTTCTGCCAGGTGAGCCGGTGGACCCGACTCTGTGAACTTGGCGTCCCCTCCGCTGTTGAAAAACACCTCCAGAACCCCACGAATCAGGCAAGTCAGCTGCCTCCGCCCATCCTCACCCTCGAGCGGCGGCTGGCGGAGCCCGTCAAGGTCCACAATGACGACAAAATCCGGAGGCAGAAACTGCAAGAGCAGAGACTGCGAGAAAATACGACTCTGTCTAAAGCCCAGGGGTCACAGCAGATCTCTGAGCCCGGTCCCGGCCTCTCGGCTGAAGCGTCTGACAGACTGGAGCTCAGAGCAGCCCTGGCCAAGCTGTCAGTGGATTCAGTTCCAGCTGGAACCACTAGAGAGAACTCCGAGATCAGAAAAGTGAAGACAACAGATCTGCCTCCTCTGGAGCACGTGTTTGCTGAGGGACTGTTCTTCACTCTGACGGATGTGGTGCTGCTGCCGTGCATTCATCAGTATCTGGTAAGAGCTTTCCACTTGATGACATAAAGTGTGATTTATGCCCGAGTTCTGTTCAAACTAATCCCTCATTGATCGAGACTCCTTTCTTCTTACGTCTTACTGCTCAAATTGGCTCCATGAATGCACATTAAACAATCATTTCTTATCATTATCACCACATTTGCCTTAATCTTTTGATGTATCGAGACACTTTTATTAGCATGATAAATGGCTCAAGCTTATTTAGCACCTTTTTAACCTTACCCAGCTTCGACAAAGTGCTTTACAACATGATTTTCATTCACCATTTCACACAAACACACGCTCATGCTGCACTTTCTATTATGTTGTACCACAAAAAAGATCAATTTTCATTATCCAAAGCTTTTTTTTTACTACATAATCACTACCAGAGCCTTGTGTCACCATGAAGTACTGCAGTTGCGTGTGTTTACTGACTTTCTAATGTCTCTGTAATGATTTTGTGAAGTAATCCATGACGTATGGTTTTGACACTCTGGTCAGGGTGAGCCGTCTCCTTTCAGAAGCATTCAGGTGGAACGCAGAGTCAAGGAGACTCACTGCATCAGTCCTGGTACATGTTGGCTCACACTGGTGGTCCGGAGCCACCTGGCAGAAGCTGATAACAGTGTACAGGATGGGTTTTATTCAAAAGCATCAGGCTGAAATGCTTTTCATTTGAGAGAACTTTTCCCTCCTCAACAATTCAAGGTTTCAGGTTCTTAAGATCACCTTGAAGCTGCAGTTGGTAAGTTTTACAAAAATTAGAAATTTTAGCATATTTGTTAAAACAGTCAGTATGTCCTGACAGGTAAAATACGAGACAATCTGTGAAAAAGATTAAGCTCCTCCCAGTGGTCCTACTTCCATTTGCAGAAATACACAGCTCCCGGTCAGGAACAACCAATCAGAGCCGGGAGGATTGTGTTACCAGTGTCAGTCGGACTCATGCACGCGCTGTCATTCAAGCTCAGTATTGCTGATTTGTTTCAGCTGTGCTTTAAAACGGCAAAATAAAGAAAAAGAAAAACAAAATGTGAGGACTTCAAATTTGCAAGCAATAAATATTTATTAGACAGCAATGATAAAAAGTGGTTTAAATCAGTGGTTCCCAAACTTTTTGTCTTCTGACCCAAAAAATATCCATGGCAAAAACTTGTGACCCCAAATATTACTGGTCTGAGTACACAAACTTCGTTAATAATCCTAAAAACAAAGGCTTTTTGACAATCTAAACAGCTTGTACACAAATATACACTCACCGGCCACTTTATTAGGTAC